TTTGTGCTTGCCATTATCAATGCCCACTACAAAATGGCATTATCTAATATGTACTTATTATTAGTGTTTTTATTATTGGATCAATAACGGTGCATAATTCATTGCGCTCATCGCATTTATATGGTTTCTATGAGTGAACTAAGGACACGCACATATAAACATTTACACATATAATACATACACAATCCCCGCACATGGAGAAAAATCTGTAAATAATTGCAGTATGAAATCACTTTTCATTGTTCCATTAAGTAGATTTTGATACATTCTCCAAACGGCGAATTAATGAATCGACGCACAATTAGATATCTTACGTGTAAATAGCATATTTTTTCACTAATGGATATTCTCTCTTATTAAAGCGTTAACGAAAGGTAATAACTTCGGAATTTTTAAGGAAAATGCGAACCAACTGGCCTATTTTCACATTCTTATAATATCCAAAAGTATTCATGTAAATGCATATGTAATGTATGTACAATTATTCCGTAACTTGCATGTTCATGGATCAGAATTTTAGCTGCGAATTTCAATTTAATAACAATCTTCAAATATTTGACGTTTTACTTTTTATGATATTTGGATCAGGATTATTATTATTTAGATAAATAATTTATGAAGGCAGACAATGTCAGTTTTATTTTTTGCTGAGAAGAATTTTATAATATCAAATATTTTGTACATGAGACGACACGAAAAAATGTATTAAAAGACTGGATAGTAATCAAGAATAATCAAGAGTATGTACTTACATATTTTACGCAGTTACATAACTCTATTACGTCTTAAGAGAACGAGGCTGTCTCTCATATTTATGTGAATGAATTAACATAACAATATATATTGTATACCGTTCTCAACTGTATTGTTGTCATAAATATTTTGTTGTATAAAAAATATGAAACATGTACAAGCATATGAATTAATATATTTATGTTTAAAGTACGTCAGATATGTATTACCTTAAATTTTGTTTTCTGAAATCAACATATACATCTTTTTATCCTTTTCTTTTTTTTATAATATAATGTTACATAATGATATAAAATATCACAAGAACGTTGAATGCAATTTATTACGTAAAATTATAATCAATTATAACTGCTGAAAAGTGGAAAAATAATTTTTATTGTAACACAATCGGAGATTTTGAAATTAAGAAGAAAATTAAGAAAAATTATTAATTTATATTTATAAAGCATAAATAAAATTTTATTGATTGAATTATTAAAAGTATTTTAATATTAATTAATAATAATAATATACTATATATGAATAATGTATGAAAATACATTATATGCGAAACAGATATGCTAAATATACTAAATAAATTACTCTTAAAAATTTCATAAATATTCTTCCAATTTTGCTTTTAATATCTGTAGCTTACTGCTTGTTATTGAATTAGTTAATTTTTCAAATAGTATTTGTCAGCATGCATCACAGATAATTATTCGCTCAGTCAATTGATGCACAATAAACCAACAACGTTTTATAATTAAAGTACTTGTTTTAATATTGTACTTATAGGAGATCTAGCACCGTAAATTGTCATCAATCACACTGATAAAAAATTTAGATAGAACCAATATCTCACTTGACTATATTGACACAATGTTGAAATTCTAAGCATTATAGAAAAGATAAGTAATAAGTCAAATCGAGATTAGGGTTAATCTTACATAGTGGAGCCGGATCTAAGAATATTAGAATTGTCACCGCATTTCTCAAAAAATTTAAATAATTAACACTCAAAGTGATAAAAGTAAAAATACAAAATTTTAAAGTATCTTTTATCTTTTATTTTTGTCTAAAAATTCGTAATTTATAAAGAATAAATGCTTTCTATTTGGTAACATATGTAAGTCGGCACAAGAATTGTTATATCTTTGTTACTTGCTAAATCAATCAGTCAAGAAAGATAGATGATGCTTATGTCGACTTATAGCCAAATGGAAAGCATCTAATATTAAGTTGAGAACAAATCGTAAATGTAACACAAATCGAATAATGTTTTCATGTTTAACGGGTAGACATGTCATAGCTGATTTATTTGGTATAGGATTAATTACAAGATTTTTAATTGCATTTTCTTTCGTTATGTTGCTTGATGTAATACTCTTAAATGCTAAAACTTTCTTGTTATTTTCTAATTATCTCTTTTTTATTATCATTTTTAACCAACGTAAATTACGTAAAATATTTAAAAGTGTAAATTTTAACCTTTTGCAATAAATTACAATTTTTTAAATATAAAAGTCATTATATAACGATAAAATGTAAAAAAAAGCGTCATACATAATTTATATATATATATACATATATATATATATATATATATATATATATATATATATACACTTATAGGGTATCTAATTTTGTCCTGTATCATTTTGCAATTTTTGAAATAGTCAACAAGATATTAATTTCTAAAGATTGTCGATTAAGCGAGCAAAACCGATAAATAAGACAACTTTAAGATTTCTTTCAGAGTTCTTTATAAAATATCTTAATGATATTTTTCTTAAAGAACTCTTAAAGAAGTCTTAAAGTTATTTTATGCGTAAATTATATTATAGATATTCTGCTCATTAGGTAACTAAAAAAAAAAATTACGAAAATTGGAATTTTAAAGAAGGACTTTTAGACTCAGTTAGTCCGCTCTATCTACACACGAGCGTTTCGTCAAAACTTACTGGACACTCTGTATATACATAATCTTTTTTTAAAGATGACTATAAACGTACCAGCGTACACATCGCGACGTGCATGAATGTATTATTATTAATAATGAATGTTATGTATAATTTAAATACGCACGCACGCACGCACATTCTAAAATAGTTTATATTTAGATCAAAACGATTATCAAAACTACACAGAGGAAGCTCCTAA